GCGTACGAAAGCGAAAAAGCGATTCGTCGTGGCGCAAGCGCCAAAGCAGAAGCTTTTTCGAGCGAGCCAGCCGGCGGTGCCGATGATCAAACGCATCGGATTCAGTGGCGGCACGGGCGCAGAGAGCAAGCCGAGTAACAGCTTCCCACCAGCCACAGTCAGTCAGTCACTCGCGATCGGTTAGTCAGTGACGGCAGTCACGCGGCGACCGTGTCAGACGCACGTTGGTTCGCGCGGAACGAGGCCGTTGTTGCCGGACGGGTGAGAAAAGAAGGATATTTGGTCGGTGATCGAGAAAGGTCCGCCGTTAAATCGCGATCGAAGTCTCGCGTTGCTCGCGTTGGACGTATATGTACAGCGCGGAATATCGCCGCGCAGGCGCGATGCGACGCTCGGCCGTCGCTCGGGATTTGGCGTCGACGATCATCTGATACGAAAAGGAGCGCGAAGTCGCTGCTGGCCGGCTGGTGAATCGCGTGTGGATGATCGGCTCGAGAGTTTGGAGCGGTGACCCGGCGACAGAAGCGGAGCGTACCGGCGAGTTGCGCCGCGAGAGACACGCGCGAATCGTAGGTGAAGAGAGCGAGGCGCGAACGAGCGAGACGGAGCGAAGAAGAGGAAAAGAGAGGTTGCCAACCACGCCACCAGCAGCTCCGTTTCGTGTCCCTCTCGAAACTCGTCGCCCGTTGTGTGCCGCCTTATAAAACGCGCGCGCAGTTACGCGTTCGTGCTCGTACGAACGAGATAGCGAAAAAACGACGAAAGGGATAGTAAATAAATAGTCGGAAGATAAATCGACGGACGAGAGAGGCTCGTGTACCTTTAGCCGTCGGACGTGCCTCGAGAACGCGGTGCGCGACGCACACCTCTCGCGTTATCTGCGGTAAATACTGCGGGCTGTCCCGTGGGGCCGTCGATTGTTTCTAATCGTTATCGTGCGCGCGACCGACCCGGCCGCGTATCGTCGCAGTTGTCATCGACTTCGCCGGTCGTCGTTAGCCGATCCTCCTCGAAATAAGGTGGTGCGAGACACGCACGGTGGAAAGAGTTTTGTGCAGTGAACGGTCGTTAATAGACCAGTGCCGCGGCTCCGCGCGCCGGACAGAGACGGAGTCGAGCGTCTTTCGTAGCAGAGAAAGACAGCGACGAAACGAGACGCGAGAAGAGTACGCGAAGGTGGAAAAGAGACGAAGGAAAACGCGCTATATACGCGTCAAGCATCGCGCGCGAGTGCCAGAGACGAGACGGTGAATAGGAGAGACGCGAGAGTGCGACGGAGAGAGAGAGAAAGAGACGAAGACGCAACGAGAGACGGACTCGAAAGCAGCCGAGATGCATTTCCACGGTGGTCTCTTGTCGATCTTGCTTATCGTCGTTTCTTGCCCTTTGACCCTGCGCGCACGTAGGGTCGCGCCCTTGATCGAAGACGACTGGGCGAGGAGACCTCATCGAGCCGCCGGTAAGTCGCCATTGTTCATGTCTCCGTTCTTTTTATCGTTTCGCACGCGCAGCCACGTTTTTTCCCCTCTTTTTCGCGTCGTTAGCCGGTTCAGAACGATCTCGACGATCGACGTGGACGACGACGCGACCGCGTCGGGGCTACCGGTCTCTCCGGCCAGCCTCCCGTCGTTGATTTCGTCAGAATACGAGCTGTTTCTTTTCCTTTAAAGGTTAGAGAACGTTCGAAAATACCGGGCTTCGCCGTGAGACGAGAGCCGCATTTACGTAACGAGAGCCGCCGTGAAAAAGGCGGGAATCGCTGTTCGGATTCACCGCTTTGAATCTCGCGTACGCTTCTCGCCCTCCGCCACCGGCGTTTCGCACGCGAATCGAACTGTTTTATCGATCGTCTCCGACCGAATACTTCCTTTTCAACCTAGACAATTACGGATAATAACACGTTCTCCTTTGTTTCAAAAACCAGCCTGCTTATTTCGAAAACCTTCCATTCGTTTAAACGAAAATAAACTCTTACTGCCGCGTTAAGATATAATACACTTAGCGAAACGTTTAAAACGCTCCGTAATAAAACAAGTTCTTGTTGATAAAACGTTTCGATAAAAAAGCGCGTTAGCCTCTTAAAATACTCGACGGAACGCTACGGGCGCTTTACAATACACGTACATTGAAATTTTATTTTATCGCTACATACGTGATTAATTTCACGTAATTATTATTACTATCGTTTATTCACCTTTATTTGAAACGATGTAAATCTTCGAATAAATGAAGCGTTAAAACGGTAGTTATAGATCACGTTATACGAAGCAAGTATATTTTAAACCGTTCGATTCCTATTTCGGGCAATAAACTTTATTTTAATCCAAGACACGTGGTGCTTGAAAGTTAAACACGAAACCGCAATTATTTTTGCATCAACCTAATATTAGCAATAACGAAACGAAGGAGGAGACAGGAAGTAGTATACCGGTTCTTAAACACCTCGTTCTGACCCAGATGTTAAAACGAGTTAATGGATGTGTATTGTAATCGCGTATTTCAACTGACGTTACTATAAAGTTTAGTGCACTCGACGCGTCACGAAAATGCTTAGCATTCTGACGGTTAAAATAGACTTTACCGTAAAACGTTCGCTTATGTTGCTTTTTATATGTCGCAAGATTTGAAACAGAAATAAAACGTTTTACATGAGGCAGCAAAGAAGAATGACGTGCATGTGCGTCAATGTAGTCACATTGAATATTGCCATATAATGATCTCGTTTTTCTTATTCATGCATCGCCTATCAGTATCATAATGCTCCAACTAAATATATTGAATTAGTCGTAATTTGCGAGGTTGCGAAACGCTCGTACAACGCTGAACAATTTAAGCAAAAATGTTTCGAGAGAGGAAATGCGGTTGTATGGCCAGGGATTAATTACAGTTGCTTCTAGATTACGTAGCGTAATACTTACCTTTAATAACGATCGTGTTACCAGACGAATGAGATATCGAATTCAGAAATCTAGTAATCAATTTAATGAAGGAGCAGCGAATAAAAGACGAAAAAAGGTGAAAAGAAAACGGCGGAGGGAGAAAAATAAATCACACCAGTTTCAAGGAATTAACTGACCAATCAAGCGGTTAATTAAATTTATGAATAGTAAAGGAACAGGTTCTCCCGTTCGATGAAAACGGGGTTTCTCGAGCGTGGCACGCGTTTCGCGGTCCCGGTAAAAATTCTGCGCGCATGCGTCGATTTAACGTTATTGCGCAGTGCACGTGCGCAGTGTGCCCAATCTTGATAGGTTCGATCCATTCATTCTCTCTCGATTAATTTATCAACGTTGATGTTGTACGAATGTGTTAATTGAAGATTAATTAGTTTATGCTAAATGAGATACAAATTCCTACATTTGTTTTATGTATTCCTAGAGTTATATTTTCGTAGGTGTTGACACTTTCGTGCCTTGTATCTCTATATCTTTGTACTTCATCTTAATTTTTAAATATATTTAATTGCAAAATGCATGTAGAACTATAGTGTTCTTAGATCACAAGTATCCCCATATTCTTAGTTTACATGTTTATACGAGTAGTGTATTTGTATGCGTAGCGATTTTGGCCAATGTATTTGCTTATGTTACATGATCACGATAAGATGGTTGAAAGTGCTATTAGATGTAATACTTTATGGTACTTGAAGGTGTATCGATCGGTGTGTGATTATTGATGACTTTTATTTGGCACGTGTTGTATTGGTTGTGAGTTTGATTGCATTTGAGCCACGCTTATTTGGCGAGTAGTGTATTTGTATGCGTAGCAATTCTGGCGCGTTGTAATTTCCACGCATTTCAATTTTGGAGCGTTGTAATTTCCACGCATTTCAATTTTGGCGCGTTGCAATTTCGGTGCGTAGCATCTTCTGCGTATTGCAATTTCGGCGCGTAGTATTTTCTGCGCATTGCAATTTCGACGCGTTGCAATTTCTACGCGCTGCAATTTCAGTGCATTGCAACTTCGGCGCATAGTAATTTCTACGCGTTGCAATTTCGGTGCGTAGTAATTTCTACGCGTTGCAATCTCTACGCGTTGCAATTTCGGCACATTGCAATTTCGGCGCATAGTAATTTCTACGCGTTGCAATCTCAACGCGTTCTAATTTCTACGCGTCGCAATCTCTACGCATTATAATTCCTACGCATTGCAATTTCTACGCGTTGCAATTTCGGCGCATAGTAATTTCTACGCGTTGCAATTTCGATGCGTAGTAATTTCTACGCGTCGCAATCTCTACGCATTATAATTCCTACGCATTGCAATTTCTACGCGTTGCAATTTCGGCGCATAGTAATTTCTACGCGTTGCAATTTCGGCACATTGCAATTTCGGCGCATAGTAATTCCTACGCGTTGCAATTTCGATGCGTAGTAATTTCTACGCGTCGCAATCTCAACGCGTTGTAATTCCTACGCATTGCAATTTCTACGCGTTGCAATTTCGGCGCATAGTAATTTCTACGCGTTGCAATTTCGATGCATAGTAATTTCTACGCGTCGCAATCTCTACGCATTGTAATTCCTACGCGTCGCAATTTCTACGCGCTGCAATTAGTTTACATGTTTATACTAGTATAAACATCCCTACATCAAAACAATGTTTACATCTCAAGTATCCACAGATCCAAAACATACAGACTCCAAATATCCGTAGATACGTCTTCACATTTCCATATCTTTGTACCCCTAGATTCTTACATTCATTCATTATGTCCTGCATCTCTGGATTGCTATATCTTCAACTATTATTTCGGACCAAAAATTTCTTCAACATTCGAAGAATCGCAAGATGATCAAATGATTGTTCAGTCGGGATTAAATACGTGAACGGTCTGCAACGATACGCGTTGTCATTTCTGCGACGACGTTGTATCTGCTGGTACATCGTGACTGGCTGCGTAATTTTCTTCCCGTCAGAAAACCGCCGTCGCATCGTTCAGATTGCACGTATATCTGAACACCCGATAACCCGTTTAACTGCACCCACATACCGAGCGGTTTACGTTCGAGTTGAACAACTTCTGAACTATACGTTGACCCGAAACCGACTCGCTCGCTAAACCGATCTAACCATCGCGTGCAGTATCGTCCTGCAGCCGATGGTAATCGATCGTTGACGAATCGATGTTTTTCGATCGAAGTAGTAAATGCACTCTCATCGTACTTAGTCGAACTCGGTGATTGATTTTCTATGAAAAATTGTCGGGTCAAGAGGTATTTAATTTCCGTGATACTTGCGTCATTACGTAGTAAACAAGAAATATGTAAATATTTATGAACCGATGTAAATGACCAGTTACGCCATTCAATTTCTTTATGCCACTCGTTAATTGCTCGCTCGTGGCGAAATTAGTTAATCAATCTTTTTCTTCGAATGAAAAAGTACTCTTACGTGAGTTGTAAAAATTTTGTTAAAAGTTACGGAGGTGTGTAGCATTTGTTGAAGCAGTATCTAGGTTTCTCTATCAGTATAGCCATTGGGAAAATAAAGTTTGATACGATAGTTTTCGTTTGCAGTTAGCTCTAGAATCTCCTGACAATGTATTTGCTTATGTTACATGATCACGATAAGATGGTTGAAAGTGCTATTAGATGTAATACTTTATGGTACTTGAAGGTGTATCGATCGGTGTGTGATTATTGATGACTTTTATTTGGCACGTGTTGTATTGGTTGTGAGTTTGATTGCATTTGAGCCACGCTTATTTGGCGAGTAGTGTATTTGTATGCGTAGCAATTCTGGCGCGTTGTAATTTCCACGCATTTCAATTTTGGCGCGTTGCAATTTCGGTGCGCAGTATCTTCTGCGCATTGCAATTTCGACGCGTTGTAATTTCTATGCGTTGCAATTTCGGTGCGCAGTATCTTCTGCGCATTGCAATTTCGACGCGTTGTAATTTCTACGCAACGCGTTGTAATGCCTACGCGTTGCAATTTCGGCACATTGCAATTTCGGCGCATAGTAATTCCTACGCGTTGCAATTTCGATGCGTAGTAATTTCTACGCGTCGCAATCTCTACGCGTTGTAATTCCTACGCGGTGCAATTTCTACGCGTTGTAATTTCTACGCGCTGCAATTTCGGCGCGTAGTAATTTCTACGCGTTGCAATTTCTACGCGTTGTAATTTCGGCGCATTGCAATTTCTACGCGCTGCAATTTCGGCGCATAGTAATTTCTACGCGTTGCAATTTCGATGCGTAGTAATATCTACGCGTTGCAATCTCTACGCGTTGCAATTTCTACGCGTTGCAATTCCTACGCGTTGTAATTTCGGTGCATTGCAATTTCCACGCGCTGCAATTTCGGTGCATAGTAATTTCTACGCGCTGCAATTTCGATGCATAGTAATTTCTACGCGTTGCAATTTCGGTGCGTAGTAATTTCTACGCATCGCAATCTCTACGCCTTGCAATTTCTACGCGTCGTAATTCCTGCGCCTTGCAATTTCCACGTGT